AGGAACACCATTGGAAAATTCATAAACTTAAGGAATCAGCGCATATGCTAGGCCACAAAAATCTCCTGAGCCGAGCAAGCATAGAAATAAATACAATATGGGAACTAGTAATAAGGAGTGCCAGAGAAAAGCAATGATAACAACAAAGTTGAAATATGAGCTCTGGTAAAAATATGAAATGATAACAGCAAAAATTGCAATATGAGCACTGGTAAAAATGGTTGCTGAAGACATTAGGTTTATAATACCCAAAAATTCATACCCAGATGTCCTCAAGGATAAGTGGATAAGTTGGTTAGATCCAGTGATAGGACCCAAATAGCGTGAGTTCAATACCTGGTTAAGGCAGTGGAGAACTTTCAGAGGGAAATTAACTGATAACTGACATCCATCAAACATGGCACGTGGAACTAGAACAGTCTACCCCAGTGAGCAAAATAAAGGGTTCAGTTCAACATTCCAACCACCTGAAGAAGGCCAGAGCATACAACGGCCGAAACGTTGTAATAAATATGGCGACAAAGATGGGGACGATAGTCTGAATAATATAAATAATGTACATAATACCTCTTCTCAGAAATATAGACAGACTCTTATTTTTTAATGTGAAGACTTCCATATTCGTTTCGTTTTCTTCAACTCTATCAACATTTTTCTTTTTGAATTTGTATACTGCTTGAAAGTGGTTCTTTTTTAAGCAATTTGTACAGGTTTTTCCAAATGCTGGGCATTTTTCCCTTTTTATTTCGTGTTCACGTCCACAATACGCACATTTTCTTATCTTTTTTAACATGTATGTATCAGCAAATATTTGTTCGCTGGTTTGACTTTTATGATGGTTGTATTTCTGTATTAGTTCTTGTTGCTGTATAAAGTCAATGCATGTATTTAAAGACATATTTCCTATTTGTAGTTGTTCCATTATTTTATATCGGTGTGATGCATTGCACATACCTTCAATTAACCTTATTTGAATCAAGTCCTCTTCAATAGTCTGTTCGTCTTGTCCGAGTTTTTCAAATTCGCAATATCTACTCACATTTCATAGACGGTGTGGATATTTTATAATTGGTTTATCAATTTCTTGTTTCATCAGCATGAACTTCATTCTTTCTGCCACTACCAGTCTTTTCTTGGGTCTCATATTTCTCCTTATAATCTGACTTATTTTTTCGAAAGTCAAGTCTTCCAATTTTGTGGGATATGTCATGGTGGAGACTTTCATTATCGCCTTGCATCCATCTGTAGCCAAAAATAAATCTGTAATTTCATTTTCGCCTCCTTTCTCCTTGTTGTCTTTCAGCTTTTTAATTCTCACACTGGCAGAAAAACAGCGAATCCATGCATCCACGATATCTGAATCTTCTAGAAGCAAGTGGGATCCTATCAGCAACGCCATTGATGGGAAGTCGAAGTTTAGCACTAGTCAGTCACTAAGCTTGTCTTCATCCAACGTTATTCTCAGTGACAAGTTATATAGGCTTTCTCTTGCACTTATGCAAATTAGGCATATTAATTTGCCAGTGTCACTACAGTTTTAGTTTAACAGAACATTGTTTAGAATGGAAAATCTACCTGATATGCCAAAAGAATTGTAATCCTTTCATTTTGAGTTGGATTCCTTTATAAACAATACTTTTGGTTTAACATTCTGACATTTATTCACACTCTCCATTAAAACACATTTCTCAATCTTTTTAATGATCAGGAATAAAAATCAAATTTGTTTCTTTCATTGTTTCAGTTCATTGCCTCCTGTGTCCCATTCTAGAATGCACAGAGTTTCTGTAACAAGCATTACAGATTTCCTCAAAACAGTAAATGGTATTTCTTTACAAGACGAAGAAGGCATTCTTTGTAATCTCAATATCTTTGCACATCGATTGCAAAAAGTCATTGATGTTATTGAGACAATGGTGCAGTTTTCTATGTAAGTATTTTTTCCTTTTTTGCAGCACTTTAAGAAGACAATGCCTTGTCATAATCTTTATGAATCTGGTGGGAAATAAAGATTCAGATTTCTTTTTGTATTACAAAGTAAATGATTTTTTTTTTTACTGAAGGGATTTTTTTTTTACTGAATGTATAAAAACATAAAAATGTTGCTAGCACTGCAAAGGTATATTTTAGAAATAATATAATAAACAGAACAAAGTGGAGATAAGACTTGTTTTTTATAAACAATCTATTTATGTACTTGCTCAGAATTAAAACTAGCTACAAAAAATATACACATATATATATATGTGTGTGTGTGTGTGTGAAAAGTGTGTGTGTGTGTATATATATATATATATATATATATATATATATATATATATATATATATATATAATTATATATTATATGTGTGGTACTTATTAGAAAACGCTCAATATCAGAGATAGAGCTAACATATTTGGTTGGATTGATGTGAGTTTGTGACCCTGGGTTTCACGCTTTTGCAATCGTTAGTTTGTCTGACGATATATATATATATATATATATATATATATATATATATATATATATCTGTATGAAGTTAAAGATCAAATGCAGATCAAATATGGATAGTAATCCCACAGGATGTTAAGATAACAAATAGAAAATGTTTATCATTCGTCTCCTTCTTTGAATCTATTCTTAAACAATCTTATATCTATCTAATACAAACATATGCAAAACATCCCCATATTAATAGAATAAAACATTAGAATGCCTCCTACTAGACAGACACTTCTTCTTTTATGTGCCGTGTTCCTTCAGGATGTAGGTGATCATGGCCCTCCATTTCTCCCTATCCCTTTTAGTTCTCAATAAGTTTTGTCCTTTTGCTACTTCTCCTAGACCATGTTCTGCCATCCACTTGCTTAAGCCCACAAAGTATGTCATACATTGTTTTCCCTTGTATCACTTTCCCTCTATGTGCTCTGTGATTATCTGATTCTTCAAGCCTTCTTTTCTCATTATGTGTCCCAGAAATTTCAGCTGTCTCTTCCTGATGTTAAGTATAAGTTTCCTCCTTGTTTGCATCCTCTCCAAAACCTCATCATTGCTCACATGTTTGGTCCATGGTATTCTTAGCATCCTTCTGTAGAACCATATCTCCGTTACCTTGAGTCTCTTCTTCATCTTTGAGAAGACTGTCCAACATTCACTGCCATAAAGGTGGACAGATATCACGTAGCAGTTTAGTACTCTTTTCTTTGTTACCAACGAAATCCTCATGTCTAGTAATACTCTGCCAAGCTTTTGGAATGTGTCTTTGGCCATCCCATTACGTCTTCGAATCTCAGCATTGCACTCACCATCCTCTGTGAGAACACTTCCCAGATATTTAAATTTCTACACCTGCTTGATTTTAGTGTCCCGACCTGTAAATTGCATTTCTGGCTCATCTTTTTGGCGATGACAGACAGATGCACATATACAATTATGAATACACATTACCATCTGATACCTGCTTAGACATATTAGAGTTTTTAAAAACTTACCTACATATAGAATTATCTATGGTTTTAATGCATGTGATACATGACTGATCAATGAGAATCAATCCAAACAGAATTGAAAATACCAAAGTTCTGTCTGTTTTCTCTCAATCTCTGAGGAAGCTTTAATAAAAGTGAAATATGTTAGATTGATGAATGTTTCCAATTAGTTCTTTATCTTATCATTATATATATATATATATATGTTGTAACCTAGAAAAGGTTACTGAATAAGAATAACCAAAACAAAGGTTGGAAATGGAACAGTAATCTTTATAACATTAACAACATACAAGATTTGCCAGCGGCATGTAGTAAGTAAGTAATCCACTGCTAGTGGTGAACAGGTAGTGAATCCCCCCAGACAGTATATTCCACTGTATTTATGAGGATTGGGACATACCCATTATAGTCCATAGGTATTATATAACAACATATATATATATATATATAGATATATATATATACATACATATATACATACATATATACATACATAACTGAAGAAGAGAAATATATTGAGAAAACTTTAAAACTTAACTACCCACATCATTTTATCCTCAACACAAAAATTTGAGCTTACAAAATCTACAAAGCCAAAAAAAAAAAAAACAGACACTACCAATAACACTTCTAACAAAAATTACACAAAATTCATAATCCTGCCCTCCAACATTCTTTCTACTAAACTCACAAACAAATTAGTCATCCCTAATACTTACCACCCCCTCCAAGACAATCAGAGATATAATTAGAAAGAAAAATAAACCCAACACCGATTCAAATGCTGGCATTTATCAAATAAATTGTTTACAATGAAAAAATGTTTATGTGGAGGAGACATCATGTGATCTAAAAGCCTGCATCTATGAACACAAGAGAGATTTGTGTTTGGACAATCAATCTAACTCTTGTTTTGCATCAAAACAATGCTGAACAGAACCTTGATTTCACTAATAGCTCCCTAATTAAAAAAAAAGAACATAATTCTTTAAGGAGAAAATACATTGAAAACTTAATAAAAACATTACTAATTATAAACACACACCTAAAACATTACATTGCCATCCTTCTTTGAATCCATTCTTAAAGAATCTAACTTATATCTATCTAATACAAAGAATACATTCTTAAAGAGGTAAGCCATAAATTAGAATCTTGTGACTCCTTGCTGTGTGGGTTGACCACACAAAGTTGAAGATAAAATGCCCACTAGACTGGCACACAGACACAATTACAAATACACATTACCATCCAATGCCCACTTTGACATATAAGAATTTTTACAAATCTATATACATATAAAATTATCCATGGTTTTAATACACATGACATGTACCTGACCAATGAGAACTGACCCAAACATAATTGAAAATACAAGTGTTTTCTGTCTTTTTGTCTGTTCTCTCAATCTCTGATGAAGCTTTAATAAAAGTGTAACATGTTAAATTGATATATGTTTCCTATTTATTTTATCATATATATATATATATATATAAAACTAACTGAATTTGTTTTTCTTTCTTTTAGATTATGGAAGTTATCTTTGAAGCTTCCCCTCCCTAGAAAAGAAGATCTGGAGTTGGAAGATCAAATACATATGGAAAATAACAGTAAGTAGTACAGGATGTGTTCCCTTTTGAAGAATGGTTAACTTGAAAATGGGAAAAATATGAAACATTATGATGAGTTAATATTTATTCTTTGTGATTTATATACCTATTATAGTTTACAAAAGTTGAGAATTTAAAAATTTCTTTGAGTTTATTGAAATTATTATTTTAAAACACTTTTATCGATATAGTCTGTATTTAATCATAAATATGACTTAAGTTCAATTAAAATCTATTACTACAAGAAATTTTAATAAGATTCTTGGCAAAGTAATAATCTAAAAAGAAACCTATTCCATCTTAATGTCAATTTCTTATGGGAGTTTTGCTAATCAAAATTAATAATTATTTTTTCTTTCCAGTGCTACATTTTAAAAAATTAACATCTCATTTTTATCAAATCTACAGTTTTCTTTATAAAATATAAAAGAAAAGAATAACATTTCTGAAACAACAGAATGGATAGTAATTGTCATAAGCAGTGGTAGCTGATTAGTTTTATTTATTTATATTAATGAAACTACAAGTACAACTGTAAAACTTTGCAATTACTATGTAGTGATCTTGCATCATGAGAAATAAAAAAAACCCTAATTCTCATGATTCCACAGTAAAAAGGAAACTGCCCTACTGGCAGGAAATTTAGACACTTTCTCTTTTTCATCAGTCCCTCACTAACAAAAAACAAGAGTCAAAAAAGGCCCATCATTATAGCTATAAGTATTCTGATTTAAGACAATTACAAGTTGATTTTAAAGAATAACACTCATGTTAAAAGTATTCTGAATTTTTACTTTTATTATTTAAGACATTAATTTTAAATATTATTCATTGTAAACACAACAAATTGGCAGAAGGTTAACTTCTGAAACCAGATGACCATTTATTGCAATGGAAAAGACTAATTATACTGACATTTATTCCTTAACTAGCAGCATAGCCCGGCATTGCCCGTGCTTGATTCAAAAATTGTACAACTCATACAGAAATCGCTATCACTTAACTTAAAATATTTTTGCCCTTCTTTGCCTTTAAAGGAGTGCCCTTTGCCATGCTGATGTTGCTACATGTCTTAGTTCTTGCCTATCTCACACTGCAAATTTTTTCTAAGCTCTTAAATCTGTTACGAAAAAAGAACTAAACAAAATGAACACAAAACGATCAGCTTTAAAAAAGGACTCATAACTGGAAAAAAAACAAATGAAAAAAGAATGTTAACAACAAATACTTTTTCACACCCAACCCAGTTCTGCGGAATCAGAATCAACGTTGAGTTTAAGCAAGCGAATGAGCCAATTGGAGTAAAGTGCCATGCAGATTTAAATTTTTCCCACTTGTGACAAATGCAGCTATCGATTTTTTTTGCATGCTAGCATGCTAGTTAACATTCATGTCAGTCAGCTGTTGGCTCTCACACTGGCCAATAGAATCTTCTTGCCTATTCGTGGCCGTAGAAGCATGAAAAAATTGATTATTTCCACTATCGATGGGAGTTGGGAAATGCAAAGTCAGTCTTGGCCTTCCCACTAACTTGGAGCATGTGCATGTAAATTTTGGTGCAAATCCGTCGGAAATTGCGGTTGTGCATTTGTTACACAAACACACACACACACACACACACACACACACACATCCTGCCTTTTATAGATAGAGATGAACAATTTCTCCTAATATTTCTACTTGCATATCATTTAAGGTTTGTCGATTTACTTTATTGTACTTGCTTAGAGTAGACCATTTTGATAGTGTTTTTTTTTTCAGATCCTCCAAGAATTGTTAAACTGGAAACTTCTAAAAATGAAGAACACAGTGAGATTTCTGATTTTGCACTCCAAGATGGTGTCTCTGAAGGTCCATTAATGCCAATTCTTGAAGAGAACATTACAGATGATGATGAAGAAAATATGTTAGATAATGAAACATCAACTTTGCCAGAAGAACATGATACCAAAAATTATATTTTAGTTCTGAGTAAGTTTATTTCATCAAAATATTTTCTAATATAAACCCCCTTACCTTTTTCTCATTTGTTTAAATACTGTTAGAAGTCATCATCAGCATGGTTATTATTTATTTTCTGTTTTCAATACAGAAAAGATTGCTCTTACATTACAAACATTTTACAGCTTCTTCTGGTTTCAATATTTAGTTTTGTTTAAAGAAGAATTATTCTCTACCAAATATTATTTCTTTCTTTAATCTTAATGCCATTTTTAAGATACAATGATAAATGTGTTCCTGAATTGGGTTCTGTTCTCTCCAAACTCTGTAACAAAGGCCTTGCTTCTTCTTACTATCCAGCTTGTTGGAAATCCTCTTTTGTAGTTCCTGTCTTTAAGAACTCTGGTGAGCTTTCTTATTTCTTGAATTATTGTCCTATTACTCATTTACCTCTCTTTCACAAAGTACCAGTGACTCTAATCAACTCTGAATTGGTTAAACATATCACTTCACACAGCCGTCTTTCAGATAAAACAATATGGTTTTCTCCTTACGCGGTTAACCACTGATTTGTTAATGCAGTTATTAGTGAATTTGTCTATCAAGCTTTGGATAAGAACAGCGAGGTCCAGGCTGTGGCTTTAGATATCTCAAAGGCATTTGACAGGGTTTGGCATGCTAGCCTTCTTCACAAGCTTAAGGGATATGTTGTCTCTTGCAGAATATTTGATTTAATCCAATTATACTTAATCAAAATCATGCAATGAAAGTCATGTTGAACAGCCAGGCTTCTAGATCCTTTCACATTAATGTGAGGATCCCCCAGGGCTATATTCTTGGACATATGTTGTTTCTTATATTCATCAACGACTTTCCCAATATCATCATTTACCAACTTGGCATTTATGCTAATTGCATAACTATTTATTCCTGTTTTAATAGTAAGTTCAATATGTCCAACAAAGTAAAACTGACAGCTACTGTTGAAAATTATTTCCAATCAGTTGTTAATTGTTGCAAGAAATGCCATGTAAATTTTAATGCCTCCAAAACAAAACTGCTATTTTTTAATCATCATAGAGAACCATTTTTGCCTTCCATCAGTATGGCTGATGTTAACCTTCAAGTGAACAACTCATTGCACCTTCTTGGTCTCACATTTTCCACTGGCATGAAGTGGAGTAGTTATATTGAATCAATTACTAGGTCTACTACAAGGAAAGTTGGTTCACTGAGTCATACCAGACAATTTTTCTCACCAGAATCCATCTTGCACATTTATAAATTCATCCATGAATTGAATATTGTTGCCACATCTGGTTCTCCTGCTATATATCTTGAGATTCTCAACAAAATCTAAAAAAACGTCTGTAATGTTAATATTACCTGACATCACAACTTCAGTCACTTTCCCACCACCATAACATGGCTTCCCTCTGTCTTTTCTATAAATATTTTCATGGCAATTGTTCAGATGTACTCTCTGCCTTGATACCTCAATCACATGATCTTAAGTGTACTACTTGATTGGCAACTAGGTCTCATCATTTAACTGTTGAAATAGCTAGATGTAACTGTAAATTATATTTTAATAGTTTCTTTTCTCACACTTCTTTCCTGTGGAACTATTTTCCCGTTTGTTTCCCTGCCACCAACAATATTCAAAAATTTAAATGCAACTTCGGTTGCCATCTGTCTTCCTGAATCCTGTTCTTCTGTTGTCCTTTCTCCTATAATTCTCCCATTCTCTTCCACACTCAGTAATCCCTTGCATTTTATTGGCATTATTGCCTTGCTTGGGGGTGAAATAATTAGAACAAATAAATAAAAATGTTTTATGGGCTTCAGTTGCTTTGGGGAGATTTGTAAGTAAGCCACAAGAAAGTCATGTAATATACAAGAGGGTGAAAATATATTTGACTCTCAAAAGAAAAAAATGATTTTTTGAATTAGTTAAAAAAATAATTTCCTAATTTATGTAATGACATTTAACCATATTTTAAGAGTTATCAAATAAAGACTAAGTCTTTTGAAACCTTTTTTTATTATTATTATTATAGTAACTGACACAATATACTGTCTGCTCAAAATATAAATCTAAAGAGATAATTAAATCAATAGAATAACTATAATTTCACTGAATCTAATGAAAGTAGTGTAAAGAAAAATTCAAATATTGAAATTAACTTTGTTATTTTTCAATTACATTTTCAGAGTGTTTTCAGTTTTTCATTTGTTTGATTCACCGGGGAACATGTATTTTACTGAATGATATCTGACACTTGATTCTAGATAATTTGGGTGCCCTGAATATGAATTTCAACTCTGTTTTGCTCTATCAGGTCCTGATTCTTGTCAACAGCCTATGTGCCATTTTCTACATTTTTCAAATTATGACTAAAAAATTAAGTGTTAAGATTTATTTTCAAATTTCATGGATGAAATCAGTTTAAACTACAGCAAATTTTTTATAATGATAGAAATGGCTTAAAATATAAAAAAAAGATGTGAAGCTTTCACTGTGGCAAAAATGTTCTTTTACAAGACTTTCTAGCATATTTGCTTGTTGATGGCAGGTCTCTTTTTAAGCACCTGCAATAATCAGCCATTATGTAGAAATTCTAGGGGCCTTGGTACTTTTGTTTCATAATTTTGATATCTTGGTGGAATCTCTCCCATTGTTTGTCACATCACCTAAATTACTTGGAAATTGGTCAAGATGACTATTTAAAAAATGCATTTTTACACTCATATTGTAAGCTAACTCTTTGTAGACCCTTACATTTTTTTCTACAATTTCTTTGTAGTTATCTGCTCTGTAATAACCTAAAAAGCTTTCTATCAAGTCCACGTATGAGAACCAGGCATTTTTTTCACATTCATTCATGAAATTAGGAAAATTACTGTCTTTAATGCTCTTATTCATGGACCTTCAAAAATTCCCGCCTTGATTTTTTTCATAACTTAAAATAAAAAATTTTGAAATTATGTATTTGAAGCACTCACCATTCATATTTAAAGCTTTTACATAGTGTTTAACAAGGCCTAGTTGATATGCAAAGGAGGAAATATTTTTTCTCTGCTCACTAAAGGTTTTTATGTTTTTTCTCCAACAGTATTGAAATACTGTTCTTCCTTGGCTCTGCTATCCCATATGCAAAGGAAGCAGGGTTATTTAGTATACCCTCCTTGTTGCCCTAGCAACCATTTTTAAGTCAACACATATGATCCACTCGTGTTCCCTATATTTGATAAGATTTAAAACCTTTTCTATATGTTCATACTTTTCTTTTAATTTTGTTAAGTGCCCAATCAGTAGTATAGATTGCCAATATGCAACAATACACATATATTTTGTCTAAAAACAAGTGCCAATCATTTAAATTTTAAGACTCAAACCCCATCTTCTTTAAAAAAACAGATATGTCACAGTAATATACTAAACTATCCTATATTCTAAAATATCCTCTAAAATATTTAAGAAGTTCTCTTTTTCTGTAAGATCAAATATATGTGTTTGAAATAAACAAGTTTTTCTCTTTTAGTCTTGAAGCTAATATTTCTGCAGCCTTTTTTGGTAAATTTAGATCCCTTACAAGATCATTTAACTTGGCCTGGTTAAACGCTTAAAGATCGTTTTGACTTTCAAATACGCTGGGGTCAAAATCATTGACTCCTCCATTGGTGCATTGTTGAGATAATTGAGTTATCTCCCTTTAACCAATTGTCTGGTTGGAAAAGAGGAAGATTGAGAATGGTGGTGCATAATCTACATAGCAGCAGTGTTAGCCAATCGATCCACCTTGAGGTAAGCTGGTGGCAGGAGCTGGCTATCAGTGTTTAAAAGACTTTAGAGCTGACAACCTGAATAGAGGAATCTATGCTAGAGGAAATTGACATGATTGACCTGGTATGAAAAAAAATTGTAAAGCTTTAAAAAAAGCAATGAGAAACTTGTTTTTATGAATTTTATCAATAGTTATCACCCAAAGTTTTAACATTTCTGTGTTTCAACCTTATGCAATATTTGAGAATCTTACAAACATTTTTTGTAAATTTTTGTTTATGCACCCAAGTTACAATTGCATTTAGGTAAGTTACAGTATACTAGTGATTAAATTACATAGTTTTATGAAATCATAAACTTACCCTGGGAACTCCAAATGGCATTTTTGGATCTGAACACTTTGTCCAGTGTCACAGTCTTTCAATGCATATAGTGCAGGTTTCATGTGGAGTTCACAATTTATCTTGGTCCCCCAGTTTTAAGCCAAAATAAGCTAAGTAAATTCTTTTTATGAAGTCAGTTATATTTGCTTGTTGATGTAGAAGTGTAAAATTCTCACATATAAAACAAAAGGGATCAGGGTTGTTTTTTGCATTTGGACTTTCTAGTCCTTGATATATTAATTGATTGTCTAAAGCTATTTAAAGCCCTTAATTCATATTCATATAAATTTAAGAAAATCTGAAATATAAATACAAAAATTGGTTTAAATAGGAACTTATGAAATTGGTACTTACAATCTATGAAATTAAACTAGAAACATGGTTGAGTAAGTAAAATACAAATTACATCTAATTAAATCAACTATTAAATAACAATGATAAAATTACTCACTAAATTATATGCCAATTCAAAATTGTTAATGCCCAAGCTTAATTAACTGACTGACTGAATTGACTGATTAACTCTGGAAATGAGTCACTTTTATATATTTCACTTGTCCCTCTAGAATATTCTACAGAAAACAGGTGCACTTGAGAAAATTCTAAAATTCTATATTTTTAGCTTTTTGCTAATATTAAAATAGGTTAAAAATGACAAAATTTAAAATATTTTTAAAATGTTACATATAAAAGTATATATAATACAACAATACCATAACAATATATAAAATTACCTAGATAAAAACCTAGTTGTATAATGTGTAACTGCAAAAAGACTTAGCAAGTATCGAGAAAAAAACTTTTAGGGACACAATGAAATAGGAGGAATGTTGAACAAAATCTAACCTGCTAGAGCAAAACTGAGTAAAAATTTGGGCTCAGCACAACCAAATTACATAGAACTATTTTTTATCAGTTTCCAACTTGATAATTTATCCAAACTAATATTCTCTTCTAGATTGCTTTTAGGATCATACTTTGGTTAGTAGCTTTCAATATTCATCATTTGAATGTATCAGTTAAAATGTTGTTGAAATCAATTCATGATATTTCATCTATCAATTACTAACACTTTAATCTTTCAACTGGCCCAAAAGAATCTCTTTAATGAGTTGTGGATCAAATCTGAAGCAATATCTATAAATGATGATCACAACTGCTATGTCAACCTCACAGCAGCATATGACCATATCAATAGACTTCCATTCTTCTGATCCATTAGAAACTGTGAAAGGAATTTCTTCTTATTGGTTGGGGTATCTGCCAATGAAGAGGTGTATCATAACTCAGAAGGAGTGGGAAAATTAGCAACACTGGAATCAAACACTAAAGGAACTGAATACTGGATCAAGATGAACAGGGCACAAACAAAACTTCCAGGCAGGAACACCACACGTGAAGGACAAATGTAGCAGAGACAGTGGAAACAAAAGTAAGGATGAATGAATTTCAGGTGATACTGACTTCCAAGCTCCAAATCCATTCAGTGTCTAAATCTGTTAGAAGAACTATATCAGTCCACAAAGTCATATGTGCTTTCATACTTTTGTGATGTCAATGAATACTCATTGTCACTTTTGAAATGCTCATTGTAGTAGACACTTTGTCATTGCAAATATAACTATATTACGCCGTTGAACAATGCTGGTGTCAGATGCCTTTGAATAGCACTCACACTAATAGCACTTGCCTGATAATACTCACTTGACAACTAACCCATATAGTGATCTGAATAGAGAAATAGTATAGTGAATAGAGTAGAGAATAGTGGTCTGTATAGTAATAGAGGATAGATTAGAAATAGCAATCTGAATAGTATAGAGGATAGACTAGAAATGCGGTCAATTAGACACACGCTACCTCACATGTATGCATTTCTTCTATGGTCATGTGGTCTACTTAATTCAATAATGGGATCACCAGTGTTTGCTCACTGGTGATCGATATTCATACTCAAGTGTCGGCAGTGACACTTTATTCCTATGTAACACATACTGAAACATTCTAAACTTTACCAGGGCTATGACAATGAGGAAATGAGTGTTCCACTCTATTTAATCTCTTCCTAGACTATGCTCTGTTTACGTACAAGCATAGATGTGAAAAGATGGGGTAGGCACTGATCATTTAAGCATTCCAGATCACATCCCAAATGAATCTATTAATAGAAAACAACATTCCTGTTTCCTCTCCAATGTATAAAGGATGAGAGCAGCTATGCTGATGACATAGGTATTCATATTTGGGATAAGAATGATCTTGAACAAAAAAAAATCAACATCTACCAAGTGTTCTAAGAAATAGGACTCAAGATAAACTTTTCCAAAGCAGAAACTAAGACCTGGGGTTGGAATGAAAGCAGTGATGTCACGTACTCTGAAACCATCATAAAAATTCAGGAAATGGAATTAGTAAATATTAAACACTTCAAATACACTTAAAATCTGTGTATGGATCAGTTATAATATATTTAGTATAAGAGATAAAGAAAGTGAATATAGCATAGGCTGTGCTAGGAGTAGTTTCACCTAATACCTCAAGTTGCTACAAAATGAAAACATGAATAAATTGAGACTTGTTCTTAAATAGCCTCATTAACTTAAAACTTTCATATGGATGCCATGCATGGTGCCAAACTCATTTAGAAATATCTAAGCTATCAGCTTTCTGAGATTGATGGCTGAAAATATTTTTTAGTGTGTGAAGTGTGTAGGTTTTCACAAGGACTGTCCTTTTTCGGATTTTAGGAACTGATGCTAAAGAATCCCAAAGAACTGTACTAGAAACCACATCACTTGAGGACTTCCAACAGTAGCAACAACTAAAATGGGTAGCACATGTAACTCAAAAAGAGAATAATGACATACAAAGATGGTGAACTTCCACACTAGTTCAAACAAAAGGTTAAGAAGGAATCTACACCCCCCACATCATTAATGGAAAAAGCATAAACAGCTACTGGAATGGAGAAACCTATTATTCTGAAAAATTATTTTAAGAGAAAGATTTTATAAATTTCAACTGACAACAGAAATGTCTGCTTGGTTAATGAATGATGAAAATTTCCTTATTAGGAAACAGCTAATATTACCATTGTAATAAGATAATTTTATATACAATGAGTTAAGGTTTTACTCTATAAGAACAGCCATTACATTGGTATATACATGTATACATGGGTTATAATGATTTACTCTGGTAAATTTGGTAGAACTTGAATTTTAAGGACATACTGCCTGAAAATATGGATAATATATCCACATTCATTTAACAAAAAAAGTATTTAAAACAAGACATATCTGATTTCTGAGATGAGCTGTTATAACAATTCATTCTTTCAGTCTAGCATTCTCATCTTTATTTATTTTTATCATAACATTTTGGCTGATATACTCTCCAGCCTTCCTCACTTGTATGTTGCATCTATTTATCTTCAGAGAATTTACAATAGAATCTTGAATTTTGTCCAATAGTAAATAGGCTTATCATAATTTTCAAGCCTCAAACTGAACAGTATTAAGTTTCTATTGTAGTTATATCTTTCTTTTTATATAATAAAGTATTTTCATGGCCCAATACTCCATAAGCTTTCAGGGCTGACATAAAAAACACTGAATACTGATAGCTTATAACCAAAGATAATCCCAGCCAGATGAAGACATGTGGTAAGTCTCTCCAGTTGTTTTCATATACCAAGCCATTGTACTCCAATACTGCCAAGGCCAGGAATTGAACCCATAAATTACAGTAAACTTAACACTACGAAACCATAATGAAGAACTTTATAGCAAGTAAAATTTATGAAAACAAAGTAATATAATCAATATGTATTGGAGTTCCTTGGTGGTTTGCATTGAGAAATAAGACTTCATCTGTGTAGTGAATCAGCTAATTCCACATAATAATGAACTGAGTCACCTTACTGCCATTTGAGTTACTTTATAGCTGATAAATAAAATCATCTCACAGAATACTTTTGTATTTCATCAGTTTATAAAACATGGGTTGAGAAACTACTTTCACACAATATACTTTCTAAATCTAGAAATCTGATTGGTTATTTGAGTTTTACACAGGATTCTACAATAAACAAAAGAAAAACTACACCCATTGTAGAATTTTATGATACATAACTGCATACTTTTCTTAACTAACAAAAGACTATCTCTAAAGTATTTGTCTAAAGGTAAGCATCATTATTTTTGTCTCTTTCCAGGAAAATACTTCAAGGATGACAATAATTATCCATTTATGTCCACTTTATTTGGAATTTTTCTGCAAAAAATGGAATATATTCTGCAAACAATATCTACAACTGATATGCTTCATGTAGAAATGGAGGTAAATGAAAGCATTTGAAAATTTTCTGGTCTTCTGCTAGACCGTCAATATATGATGGTAATATTTAATTCTAAAAATGAAACTTATTATAAATTATTATTATAAACACACACACACACACACACACACACACACACATATATATAAACTTTTTAACTGTTGAAGCTTAAAAATATATTTTTTATATGAATTTGTTATTGTAATCTTTTTAGATATATAATACAAAAATACATTTATTTGAATTATTTTATACTTATTAATTATTTGAATTGATTATAATGCAATGAAATGTTTTCTGTTTTAGGATGAAGATAAATTTTGTAGTTCTTTTAAAGAGTTTTCTTCCATTACATCTGATGTAGAGATATTGATAGAGAGTTACTTGAAAACACAGTTTAAAAGAGATTTGCCTGTTTCACAAGCCCTTCATATACTCAGCAGGTAAATGAATTACTTTATTTGGCATAAGATTTTGATTTCATTTTCATATTTTTAATCACCTTTCAAGTGTTTATGAAAGTAATATTCCTTTGATCTGATTAAGTTAATAAATTGCAAATCAGTTCTATTTTTTATTAACAGGGAAAATTGTATAAAAGTTTCACTGTTAAAGTACTTATAAGCCATTTACAATTATATAAACAACTCTAAAATGGTTTCTGTATACTCTTCCATTGTCAGCTAAATGTTTTTTATAATTTCAAATACCTTACTGCCATCATCTTCAGTTGATTACATGTAGGTTTGTCTCCCCAAAAAACTACCTATAAATATCACTTAGAAATCCAAAACATGTCTAATAGTGATTGGTTTAGTCTAGATTTTTCTTGTTGTTTTATGTATCATTTTTTTAAATATCTAAATTGTAAATTGTGTTACTAAATCTTTACAATATTTTCAGTCATTAGTTTGCTATTCATCCTGATATTATAATAATGCATACTGGCACCTACTATAGATATTTATTGAAACGTCTGGTCATCGTTCAGATGCCAATGTAACTCGTTAAAACCTTGAATACCCCAAACCAACCTATTTCAACTAACTTGTCTTTATTGACTACTAAGTGAATGATATTAATGTAATAATATCTGAATATTTCCACACTTGATCAAGCAACATGACAACTGGCAAGGCCAACAAAATATTGTAACCAAAATTTATGGTACTTTCAAATCTCAAGAAAATATGTTATATATAAAAAATGGCAATTGAAAAACAGTTGAGAAATACTAATGACATTCTTTTAAAAACTTATTTTTAATTTCTCTTTTGTACCACACTATAAATTAAACATAGAACAGGCTGTGCTAGAGGCAGTTTTGCTCAAAACTGCGACAAAACCAAAACCTCAATTTGAAAACTCAAGTCATGTTCTTACGTAGACTCATCAGATCGAGACTTTCATATGGATGTCATGCATGGTGCCAAACTCATTCAGTAATGTTTAAACATTCAGCTATATACAACTACTTCCTAAGATCAATGGTTAAAAATGGCTTTGAGCAAGTGAAGCCTGAGGGTCTTGGCAAAGACCATCCATCTTTGAACATTGTTGACTGGCACTACAAAATCATAAACAAAGAACTGTACCGAATAATAGAAACCATCTTGACGACTACCAACAGCAGCAACAACCAAAATGGAAAGCACATGTAACTCAAAGACAAAATAATGATATAATCAAAATGTTGACATCCCACATTACTTCAAATAAAAGTTCAGGAAAGAACTCCCATCAATGCTATCAATGACAGCTACTGCACTTGAGAAACCTGTTTTCCCGAAAAATTATTTTAATTATTTTATTTTTAATTTATTTTATAAATTTCAACTTGGAAACAATACTGGCTGCTGAATGCCAAATATTTTCTTATAAGGAAACTGTTAATATTACTATTATCACTGGCTTAAATTGACCACAGTTGGGATCATAGTCATTGTAAGCTCCAGTATCCTTTCATTAGCTGCATAGTAAGTCCTTCACCAAGGCTACATACAGTTTTGAGTTGTTCTTCTCCTAAAGCAGTTGCTACCCAAAGCTATAGAGCACAGTCTGTCCTGCTATTTACCTATAGCTGGTGGGGGAGAGATGGAATCATACCTTTCCCAAGGGTATCTGCACATAAGGGAATGTAATGAACTTGATTGGAATTTGAACTCAGCTCTCTAATTCTTCAATTCTAGCCACTATCCATTAATGTACCATGCCTCTTATTACCATTATTGTTAATCTATTACATTGTTTTATGTAATAATAATATAATAATAATTTAACATCACTGCATATATGCAGTGATAGTGAAATATTATTATAACAGCTCATTGTTGTATTTGTATCATTAAAATGATAAAGCACTGATTAAATTAAGAAAGAATAGAATTTAATGAAATTTTATCTTTTTATCTTTCTCAGATTTTCTTGTGTAAGCAGTAGAGAATCTTTGGCTCCTGTAATAAACCATTGTTATGTGATTACCTTCAACTCTTATGTAAATGATTTAGAGAAAGAGTTTGAAAATTTTGAACTGTATAAGGTAAGATACAGTGATTTTATTTTTTATTTATTTTTCTGTAATGTAATTATATAGAGAACATGGAATTATATAGAGAGTATGATGAATAAATTGTCGTCTAAATTACACAAAAATGAAAATAACATAGACATCTCGTTTTAACAGACATATTTACCAAAATTACACAAAAATATCTTGAAATACTAAAGATCACTCAAACACCATGATGTTGACTGGATATATCATTCAATTCTTTCTGAATTCTCTGCATTATCCTCAGATTGACACCCAAACATTCTGAAATGTTTGTATTGGAGCTTCCAGCACAAATGTCAAGCAGTACAGCATGCTGTTTACAAATTTCTGGCTGAGTGAATTGAATCATTGGTGCCCCTCTTTTTCTCACAGATGGTACCCAACTGAACCTACTATATTGTGCAGTCGACAAAATCAAAAACTAACAATGCACATTTGTGAAATTAAAAATATAAAATGCTGACAATTTACACATTTCACTCTATAGAGAGCATTTAATTATATAGATAACATGGAATTATATAGAGAGCATGGAATTTATCTTAAATACAAAACCTTAGCAAGCACATTTATTTTTCGAAATTAGTTTGAAAAAATAATAAATGGCAAAAGTTGTTTTTCTACTTGGAGTTTTTCTTTTATATAAGGTTTGTTTATAAAAAATAACAAATTTTGAATCAAGCCCTTTATTTAGTCCACAGGAGTAGATTGTTCTAATTCCGCATGCCATGTCTTTGAATATCTTGGTTTTAGTTAATTCACCTTGATAAAGAAGGTCGAAGGGTACAATAACCAAAACTTTGTGAATGTGAAAGTAAAGATGGGACAATAATGTAAATAGTTACAATATCTCATCTCAGAAATATAAACAAAAATAAAGAATGTGTGTATGTGGGAAGGCATTTTTTGTAAATAGAAAATTGTATGAATATATCTGTATGTAATAAAAAAAAACCCAAAAAACTCTATGATGATATATGCTAGAAGACTATGTCTTAACATAAACAAGCAGGGTTTTGAATGTATTTGTTTTCAATTCAAATATTTCAAGAGCTTTTCAATTACCTTTTTAGTGAGGATGACATTTTTTTACATGCTTATACCCATTAATGATATCTTAAATATCCAGGAACTGGTTCTATAAAGGCAGGTAATCTTTAGGAACCTATTATGCTTAGTTACTTTTTAATCTGAGAATGAAAACAAATCATTTTATAGTATCAAAAAGAATTAAACTATTTTGATAATTTAACAGAAAACATTTATTTCCAGATTAAAATTCTGTTCTCATCCTATTTCTCTTCAGAATTATGATACTTTTTGACTTACAACAATGGTATTAATTAAATTTTTATTTCTTTGTTTAGTTTTATGGTAATTTCTCTTTACATTTTCAATGTAATCATGGAAATCATTAACAGAGATCTCATAGTGAAATACTTTACAGAAGTCTAGTAACTTCTCTTCATCATCTTTCCAGGAAACGACAATTTCTTCCATATTCCAAGAATCTGGCTTCACAATATTAACTAATTCATGAATTTTATGATTTATGTTATGAGAGTTATAGCTTATGCCATCAAAATCCATTAATCTTAATCTCATATTTATTATCACTACATTTAGTAATTTTTGATGCAGCAGACTCACATTGTTTTCAACAAAATTAATATGCTGAAATTCTTTAGAAACCATTATCTATGTTTTTCTTTTACATTTTCATTTTTTTTTCTTCCCCACTGACTGCTGTTTATTGTTGATGTGTGTGCCTATTAGAGTTTCACTATGTGATTGCACAAGTGTAGCGTAACTAACATTTTACTTAGGCCATCAGCTATTAATATATGAGATTATTTTCAGATAATCAAACAACCGCTTCACTAACCTTTTATAATTTTAAGAATCAGTTCGCACAAACTGGTAGAATGCTACCACTGGTTATATCCTAGATTTGTATACATGATGGTCTTATACAATCAAAATCTGTATCATTTATTTGTGTGTTCACTTTCCAAAGAACAAATAAAATATTGTTTTATTCTTAAAAATAACTTACTCTAGTTTTTGCCAGAGGGCAGTGGTTATAATACTCTCACTATTACAGTCTTGACACCTTTAAATAACAAGCATTGGTTATTATGATTATTAATCAGTTTTTGACTTGTTTGCATCTTGATACATTTTATTCTAATACCCTGGTTATTTTGACATTTTATAACTGTTAAGTTGAATCAAAAATCAGATTTGAGCTCAAATTCCAAAGGAAAGTGAATTTAAATCTCATTCACATCTAATTCTTTATTTCTGATCTAGTCAACTGTACTATGTTGTTACAAACCTTAGGAACAATTCTGAAAGTTAGAAAATAATTTTGACATAAACTTAGAGAAATAAATGTCAATCATTATAGAAAGAAAGAGAAAATACTTTGATGACTGCATAATGATGCTATGAATTGATATAAGTCAAAGACTTTCTCAAAATATTCTCAACATTTCCCAATTTGCCAATGAATCTCATGAAAAATTAGATTTTGATTACTTATTCACTATTTAATTTCTTTTTTAAAAATTGCTATTTACTCATTTGAGCCATATTTATCCTCAATCTATATATTCTGTCCATTTTCATTCTCTCTCAGGAGGACCCTCCTTTGCCAAGAAACATCCCCAGAGTTGGAGGAACCATTCAATGGTGTAGATGTATTCAAAATAAAATCAAAGAACCAATGGAACAATTAAGGCAGATTCCGGCTGTGTACCACCTAGAAGCTTTTACCAGAATATCAAAGATGTTCAATGAAGCTGTAACAAAGATCAAAGCCTTTGAGAAAAAATCCATTTCAATGTGGGAGAAAAATTTAGAAAATGTTATCAATGGACTGAAAATTGTG